AAAAAAAAAAAAGGTCCTGTAGGCATATAGCATCACAGTACCCTACTAACCTTCAGCACAGGAAAGATTTATCCACAGCTTCTCGCACCACTGTTAGAGCCTTTAATGCCTTCTATTAAGCTGACAGCAATACTAACATGCCCCTATATTTAGCAGCCAAATAAAGAAGAATCATGGGTAAATAGAAGAGCGGTTGTGACTATTTTTCAACACCAGTATTATTTAAGGCACACATTACTTACTGAATCCGGTCTTATTTCCCTTTTGATATATTTGTTTTACATGTAAAGAAAATGAACAACTTAAAAAAATAAGCCCATGCCTGCCTTCAGGAGATACTGATATTGAGGGGTTCATTGGGGTGACCTTGAACATGAGAAGGTTGGTATTTCACATAACACACCCTGGTTTCCTGTCGTGTTTGGGTTCAGGACAGACTCTGTGCTGGGGCAGCCCAGTGATGTTGAGCATCACGTTGTGGGGATGTCCTCGACTCTCTGGTTTCTTGGTTTGTTGTCACATGATTCTTGTGATTCAGAATCAGTTCCTACTGATAATCTTGGGAGCAGTAAAGACCGTAGAACAAACCCACACTGTGATGACAATCCTGGGAGCCCACCCTTCTGTGAACCCGGTGCTCGCCATATTGGCCGTGCTCAAGTTCTTTCATCTCAAGTAGTCTGTCCTAGCCTTGTCTACGTGGTTTCCTTTTTATAGCCTTCTGTCCAGCTGGGAAGCCTAGGGCAAAACACACTAATGGAGAAACCATGGCAATTCTAGACAGAGAGCTCCTGGTAGCAGGTGAGCCTTGCTATTGGCTCCTTTACTTACTTCTTGCACATAATCCTTGCTCCCTTGTAGCCAGCTCTGTTTGAGTCACAGCTCTCTCAGACAAGTGCTTCATTACCCCATTATCCTGGGATAAGGCAAGGCGGGGAAAGTTGTTTACAGACAAGTAACTGGCCTTTCTCATTCTCCACCTGCCATTTTGGAATGATCTGTTGTCAGTCACCAACTGGCACCTGGAAATATAAAGTTCTCATATCTTCTCCATTAGTGTGTGAGGCACAGGAGAGCTTCAGTAAAGGTCTCTGCTCATCTCTCTCCCCCAAACAAACACGCAAACAAGCAAACAAAACTACTTCTCTATCAACCTGCTAAACTGTGTGAGGCATCACTTTAGATTATTAATAACAAATCTCTAGTATTCACTGCGTTCCATCATGTGTCAGCCTCACACCAAATGCTTCATGTGAATTTTTAAAGTTTATTTATTTATTTTCAGAGAGAGAGAGTGTGTATGTGTGAGCAGGGGAGGGGCAGAGAGAGAGAGAGAGAGAGAGAGAGAGAATCTCAAGCCAGTTCTGTGCTGTCAGCGTGGAGCCTGACATGGGGCTTGAACTCATAAACTGTGAAATCATGACCTGAGCCGAAACCAAAAGCCAGGCACTTAACGGACTGAGCCTCCCAGGTGCCGCAGTGCTTCATATGAATTTAACTTAACCTTTACAATGAGCCTGTAAGGTAGGTAACATTATTACTCATATTTTACATTTGCGAGAACGTTTTCCAAAAGATTAAATCAAGCTAGTAAGTGGTAGAGGCGGAATTCAAATCCAGATACTCTGACTTGAACACTAGCCATTTATTGAGCCATTCATTCCATTCATTCATTTTTGAAAAATGTTTATATCTTTATTTTGAGAGAAAGAGAACATGAGCAGAGAAGGGGCAGAGAGGGAGGGAGAGAATCCCAAGCAGGCTCTGTGCTTTCAGTGTAGAGCTGCCCCCCCAAATTTATGACAGACTGCTATTATAAGTTTGGGCAAGTCCTTCTATGCAGATGATAGATTATTTTTTTATAACTATCTTCCCTTCCCATGCTATAAGCACATGTTCTTATGTGTTTGATGTATATTCTCATCTTCTTTAATTACACATTTTGAAGATGTGCGTTGGTTTTGCCTGCATTTTTAAGAAATGTAAATCATATGTTTATGTTCTGTTTCTTTTTTTTTTTTTTTCATCCAGCACTATGGTTTTTAAGCTCTATTCACAATGCTCTGTAAATGTCAAGTGGATTGTTTTCCACCTGAAAACAATGTGGTATGCTTTCATCACATATCACCTACCCACCTGTCCACTGGTGGTCTTTCAGGTTGTTTTCCTCTGCCAGATATGGTTGTGATGCACAACCTTGCATGCACTCCCTTGTAGATCTTTGTGAAGAATTTCTCTGGAATATATACCCAGGACTTGAATTGTTTAATCATAAATATACACGTATTTAATTTGACTAAGTCTGTTCAGAATGCTGCTCTTTAGAGTGGACATACCGACTAGGAACAATACATTAGGTCTGTTTATATCCCTGTGTTCTTCTCACCCTGTGAAGGTCTGAACTTTGAAATAAGCTATATTATCACTAAGGCATCCTCTAAGATGGGAGGTTGATTTGAAATGATGTCCTGTTTATCCTAAGTTTTCCAAGTCTCAGAGACTTTTTATACTCCAACTCATTGCAGTTGTCAGTCAGATATGGGCTCCATTTCTTTCTTTCCTTTCTTCCTTCCTTCCTCCCTCCCTTCCTTCCTTCCTTCCTCCCTCCCTCCCTCTCTCTTCTTTCTTTCTTTCTTTCTTTCTTTCTTTCTTTCTTTCTTTCTTTCTTTCTGTCTGTCATATAATTTATTGTCAAATTGGCTTAACATACAACACCTAGTGCTCACAAAAAACTTGAACTGCAAGAGTTATTTGACTGAGGTCACCGAATTAGAGAATGATAAACAAAGAACACAGTCTTTTGATTTCCTATTGTGTTGTTTCTGCCAAAAGTTGCAACTGAACATCATGATCTAACCATAATTTGATCAGTTTCTCAGCAAAATCAGTCTTAAGAGCATGAGTACAGGAGGGGAAAATGCTGATTGTGGAGAGAACTGGGAGAATTAATTGGGTGCTTTTTAGTTCAGTTAATACCAGCATTTAGTGCCCTGAGTTGCTTAGAGCACAATGGCTGTCTGTGAGGGGAAAGGGGGTGAGAACAGTGATGTGGAATGGACAGATATTGAGGCTGTTGATTTGGGTTCCCTGGGAAGCAGATTCTGAGACAAAGATTTAGTGTAAATAGTTTCTTTGGAAGATGATCACAGGGAATACTGGGGAGGGTATGATGAAGTAAGCTAGGGAAGAGAAGGAACCAGAATCCATTATGAAGCCAGTTATTGCAAAGGCAACTGGAGCTCATTCCCATGGGGACTGCAAAGATACAATGTTGAACATGTCTCTGAGTTAATTCAACTCAGAGGAAAGGAAATTGGGGTAATTATTCTAAAGTTTGACTCTCAACCTTTACAGAGCCATAACGTATTTCTTTGTAAAGATTTTTTTTTTTTTTTTTTTTTTTTTTTTTTTAGCTTTTCATTGTGCAAACCTAACAGGACTCATTATTTTCTTGTGGTATTTTAATTTGGAAGAAATGGAAAGTCTATTGAATATTGTTCTTTATGGTCTCTGAAGTAAAGTGCAAAAAGGAAGAGTTAGTTGAAAGCTTAAGTAATAAAGGAATATTTTCAGAATTTTATTTATTGGACAAACAAAAATTTCTACAATTAAGACTAGGAACAAAAATCCTTCTTTTACTAGACTGCCTTGGATTTCCACATTTGAAAGAATATTTATCTCCTAGAAATTAAATCAACTGTGTGAGAGGATAACTTCATTTGTAAGAAGAAAAGATTTTTTTGCTTAGAGCAAGTCTAGAGGTCTTGGAATAATTGAATTGTAATTAGGAAATATTACTGAATTTGTTTAAAATATATATTACATGTTGGGGACTTTCCATATGTTTCTGTGGTATGTTGTAAAATTAAACATAATTTTCCCCTCATGTTTTAGAATGTTATTATCAGTTTATTGAACCAGAAATTCGATTTTTTTTCTTTATTTTATACTTTAATGAGTACACCTTAATTTCTCATGAACATTTTCTAATGGATTTATTTGGAATTGTTCAGCATCAGTTAAGCACTTAAGTCCAGATTTTCCTTAAATGAAAACTCTGGGGATAAATTTAAAAACTGAAACTGCACAATAGGTCAAGGAAGTTTAGTAAATTAAAAAAAGTACAACTGACAAAAATTTCCAGCGGGCTGCCAATGGTGACTCAGAAATATTGAACAGAAATTAGAAAATAAAAACAATGGATGATTCAACTAAGAAAAAAATAGAAGAAAGAAAGAAAAGTGAAATCCATATGTAATATTTAGCTAAGAACATGCTTTGTGGAAGTAGAAATAGTACTAACAGAAAGGCTAACAATTGAGATAGTAATGGGAATGGGACTGGGACTGGAAATTATTGCTCACACAGTTGAGGAAGCATTTTTAAATAAACTTGAGCTGAACTATTTTACTCAAGAGTGTAGGGATTCCAGCAATTTTGCCAACTCTGTTTTTGGATCATAGTTCAGCATTTTTTAAAAATTTAAATCAATACTAGTTTAGGTAAAAACTGTTGCATTTTTAAAATTTAAATTGCTACAAGTGTAGGTAAAATTGTAGAAAATATGGAGAAATTAAGGATAGTTTAATGACGTGTTGTTTCCTGATGTACAGATAAAGTATATGTAAAACTTTTTACTTGAGTCATTTGATTAGAAAATTAGGGAGATTTGGAAGAGTATGTGGTAGGCGGTGCTCTGATTTTTTTTTTTTTTTTTTTTTTTTTTTTTTGTAAAGTTGGTCTCCAGTTATAGGTGAATTCAACAGAATTTGGGGAAGTTATACCACCAAGAACTTAAGCTCTTGTTAATTATTATATTCTGAGTTTGTAATCTTAGGGGAAGATTTCTTGTCTACACTTTTTTTTTTTGCACAAAATTAATGACATTTTCCTAAGGGGGAGAAAATTTAAATATGTATGTTTCCTCCAAGTTTTCAGTCCTACCACTAAGCACAGATTTTACTTGCAAAAAAAGAGCTGAATCTCTAAATGGAAATGTATTGAACTGCTACAGTAATTTTTGTTGAAGGACCTGCCCTGACCTGGGATAAATGGAGGAGTTTTAGAGTACAACATCTTTAGTGTTTCTAAAAACAAAAATTGAAAATTATAGTTCCACTTGGTTTTATCTTTTACTCAAGGAGGAAAAGAAAAAAAAAATAACTTCATCATGTTGATAAAACAATGAAAAGGCATGTGAAGTAAGTCATTTGAAAGCAACATTTAGCTTAGAGCAGCCAATATTTATAGTATTAGAGTGCATTTTAAGTTGAAAATGTTTAATTATTTTTAATGTTTTGAGCTTGCCTAGAGATTTCACCTTTCACGCACACACACATGCATGCACGCACACACAATTATTCCTAAGGTTCTATTTATTGCAAACATGGATGTTAAGATGCCATGCTCATGTAGGAAAGCAAATGGAGCAGTCTTAGGTGAAAACTTTCAAGATAAACTAGCTGTGACTTCTTGGGTACTTATCAGTCTTTATGAGGCTTGTTTTTCCATCTGCAAAATATGTTTCAGACTAGCTTTTTCTTCTCTTGGTTTCCTTTCAACTAAAATAATTATGCAAATTTGTCACTCAGTTTTAGGAAAATCACCTCTACATTCTTAAACTGAGGAACAGAATAATTTGGGGAACGTGGCATTATGTTTCAGCTCTATGGGTCTGTTACAGTCCTAGCTGTATCTTTCAGAGTGATCAAGACCACTTATATCAGAATGAGTGAGGGTACTTTTTTAAAAAGCCATTCCTTTTCCATAGCTATTGAATTAGAATATATTAAGTGGGGCCCAGAAATTTGCTTTTTAAATAAGATCTATGTGTTATTATCATGCAGGCAAACTTCTGATAACCATAGATTCTTGGATCAGTAAATAGGTAAGCCGGAAGAATAAGGATGTTCCATATGATTAGGGTAAACATGTTAGGACGTTGTTTGTTTTACTGGCAGCGGGAGGGCAAAAAGAGAGAACCTATATTAAATGTTTTTACACCAGTCAAATAAGGGTGAATAATATAGTCAAACTGAGTACAGTTATGCTAAGTATATGATAGAACTAATAAGTGATCTAAAACTGTCAATGTAGTACTGAATTTTGCAGAAGAAAAAAGGACCCACCATTGTTTGGGTTGTAAATATTAATAATTTAGAATGGATCTTAAGTCAAATATATACACAATGGAAAACTGGAATAATTAGAGGGAACAGTTTATGTTCTTTATTATCCTTTGATATGCCAATTGGGACTAAGAAAGGAAAGAACTAACATCTAGGCCCAAGATCAGAGACAGACTCATCTATATATTTTACCTCATTTCAGTTTAATCATTCCCAGAATCATACAAGGTGAACAGTATTGCGTCAGTAACAATGAGAAGTAAGCTGAAGCTGAGTGAAATTAAATCTCAAAGCTACATAGGACGTGGCAGGATTGGATTTGACTTTTGGTCTTTTTTTGGTTGTTCTTCCAAATTTCTTTACATTGTATACATGTTTTTGCATTTTTTCCCTGCTATATGCCAGAGAATACTCCTTTGGAAAACATGCTGCCTTCTCTAAGGACACATCACCAGGAACTACTGAATAGAGATCATAACAGGTGGGAACCTCTCCACCAGCTTGGGTTGCAAATAGTTTCCAATTGGTAGCTCAAGTCTGCACTTGCCCTCTGTGTAAAAAACCTGAATACCCATTTCTTTTTTTTTTTTTTTTTTTTAACGTTTATTTATTATTTTTGGGACAGAGAGAGACAGAGCATGAGAGGGAGGGGGAGACAGAGAGGAGACACAGAATCAACAGGCTCAGGCTCCAGGCTCTGAGCCAGCCATTGGCCAGAGCCAGCTGGCTCCGAACTCCTGACCGCGAGATCGTGACCTGGCTGTGGCTGAAGTCAGGACATGTAACCACGGCCTTCATGCCACCCAGGCGCCCCTGAATACCCATTTCTTGACATTGTGCTTTGGTTCCCTTTGCCCACAGTCTCCTTCAAGTAAGATGAACCCCCTTTGGGAACTTAGCTTCCTCTTCTCTAAGCCCATCTTGATGGGCAGAATATTTGATCAAGCAGTTCTTCCCCAGTTAGCAAAATCTGCCTCACGGTGACTTGTTTCTTAAATTACGGAGAACTAATATATTTTATTTTGTTTTTAAAGAAATTCTGCCTCACTTAGCACTCCATCATGATAGAAGAGGATTTAGAGATTATATATATTTCAGTGGTGTGCCAGCTGTCTTTCACTCCTTTTTCTCAGATGCTTCACCACTCTGATGTTGAAAACTGCTGTTACACTACACTGTTCCATGAAGAGTCAAGAAAGCCTGGTGTGATTCATTTACCATTTCAGAACACATTTGCAAAGTCAATCTCAATAGTATATATAGAATGCCACCTCTAGTTAAGCCTGGCTTGAACACATACCTACTTGAAAAAAGAAATTCAATGCCCTCTCCAAGATTTCTATAAATTCTCAAGGACATATATTTTTCATAACCTCCTTTAGAGCAAATTCCCAGCTTCTATGGAATATTCACGCTCTACTCTTGATCTTGCTGCTAGGCTCTTAGCGTGTCTTCAGTGTGGGTCACAATCTATTTACTTGATAATGTCTGGCCAAAAAGTCCCCTCCGACAAGGTATGCAGTAGTCATTTACTGGAGATTTGTGGGTTAATGTTGAGGGATGGGGGAGACAAGGACATATAGCATGTTATCAAATGGCAGACTATTGAATTTTGGATTTTAGACTTCCCTGTTCCTGAAATGGAATAAACCACTTACACCAAATTGGTGTCTTCAGTTTCTACCTTGGAGTTTGGGGTCCTTCTTCCATTTTCTGTCCCCTTAGCCCCATTCCATGGCTCAGATTTTTTTCTTCATTTTTATGCACCTATTTTAATATCTCTTTTACAGATCTTCTCCCCACCCAGCCAAATAACTTATTGATTTTCTTAAATAAATATGGTTTCTTTCCTCTGAGCCCCTCCCGGAGGTAAAATAATAATAATAATTTATACCATAAGTATGAAGAAAGTAGCATCCAAAAATTTCAGCCAGAAGTCTACCACAGCTTTTCCCCCTTCTTCTTCCTTTAGATAAAGTGAAAATATTACAAAATGTAAGTGAATTGGAACCTTCACAGTAAAAACAAAAACAAAAACAAAACTACTGTGTTTGTGTTCTCTGGAGTTGTTTGTTCGGGCATCGTCTGCGCAAGGAGGCAGTAAGTGGATACAGGGTTTCCATGACAAGTTGCTATTCAGGCCCTTTTACCCTTAAACCTTCCACCTTCTTAATCCACTTGGTCACTGACATGTCCAGACTCTCTCTCATTGTCAGGCTTCCTTCCAATAGCAATTTGGGTCTGAATCGCATCCTGGGCTCTAGCTGACACTTCCCTCAGGTGCTCATCCCTTAACACTAGACCTATAATCTAGAAAATTTGTCATATTCTGGTCTCTGATGCAGCTGTGGGGATTTCGCTACCCAGCACCAACCCACACAGGAAAGGGGCAGGGGCTCATGAGACCTGAACCATTTGGGAGTCTCAATTGTGTACAGCAATATGTAACTGGAGTTACATATGAATAATAAGCTATGTTGAAGGTGACCCATGCTGTCCACTCTATCTTAGAAATAGGTAGTAATATTGGGAGAAACAGTGAAAAGTGCTGTTGAGTGAAAATGCACTTGACTTTCTGGAAAAATGCCCAGAAAACTTTTCAGTTTCTATTGACTGGCGACGTGAGAGTTGTACCTACTTTAGAAGATTTAAATGGAAGAGAATATGTGAGGCTAAGATTTGCCTATCAGCTCTGCAACCCAAAGTCATTTTTGTTCCATAAGACATCTTTTTAGGCTTATTAAAAATATTACATGTCAGACCATTTCCTTGGTAAATGCTTTATCTCTACAATTAATAAAACATATAAATGGAAACCTGCAGCTGACTGAATGGTCCTTTCAGTTTGCATCCGACTTCCATTTATTCTTAGAGCCAGAACTTTACTAAGAAAATGTGCTCTGTTCACTTGATAAGCTTCTGTTGAACTCCCCAAGAAAACGAGTTTCAGATATTTCCTACAAGGAGAACTTCTCTTTGAGGCCAGCCAGACACAAGCTCAGTGAAGGTTTTCCTGGCAAACACTTCCCAGCCACCTCTCAGGGCATGAGAGCTGATTAGTCAGTCATCTCATGACTGGGGCTCTGGCAGTGTCATGGCCTGTTAGCACCTTCACCAGATTCAGGGATGGGAGTTGAGTGGCAAAGGGAACAAAAGAAGACGGGCTGTCAAGTGAGACTTTCATTTTTAATCCAGTCATATTCCACCAGTCTCTAAGTGCTTCCAAACTTACTTCCCAGTTCACACACATACACACACACACACACACACACACACACACACACACACCTTATTTTCCTCACACACACACACACACACACACACACACACACAAATAGACACACTCCTATACTTTATCACTAGCAGCTGAATTGTAAGTACTCTTTTTTTCATTCTGGTGGCTCTAGAATAATCCAAACTTCCTTTCAAATATTTTAGGACAGACCAGTGAACACCAGTGTGATGGTATATGTAAGTCTTTGAAGATATACAAGGTGTAAAGTTTTCAGATAACTCTTTTCTGCCAGAATGGTAAGCCTCTGATATAATCTCCCCCCACCATCTCCCATTTGTTCTCATGGAAGAATCCTTTCCAGATCATTGTCTTGAGCTATTGAGTTTAGATTTGGCTTCAGAATCTCCATTCAGATTTCCAGGAAGCCATAATTAGATGGTAGTTTACATTCAAAATGAAATGTGTTATGGCCCATGCTCTGAAGTGTCTCAAGTTAGCCCTTTGACAGTTCTTTCCTCCACACTCTTCTTTTTCTTCAAGAGTCATTCTCTCTGCTTGTCTAAACCAACTCAGATCCCCAGTACTCCGTTTATCCCTGGGCAAGTGGGGTTAATGCCTTGGGCTCTGCACTGTAGGAAAATGAGCTTTGGGGTCCTTTCCTCAAAAAAAATGTCTCAACTCCTGTTTCGTTGCTGCAATGAGTCAGAGTCATCAATACCACTCAAACCAGGCCTCCTAAATTTGTAGAAGAAACTTCATTCCCTTCATCCCTATTTTTTTCTTTCCCCCATTCAGTGTATCTTGACTCTCTATCTTATGCTTGGGTCCACCAGGTACTCTGGGGTGCCTCATGGTCCTGTGGCAGACCCTAGTTCTAGGAGAGTGATCTGGTGAGCAGATCACTCTGGCTGCCTTATGTGTTATTTCTTTCACAGAATCATGCAAGATTGGACTCTTACATGGTGCTGAGATGCTGATTTTTGCTGACTCCAATTTCTTATTTAGATGAAGGCTTCCCCACAGCCTTCCTGTAATGACATCATTTGTGTTATACTGCATCTTTCCTTCCTACTAATTTCTAACCCCCCTTTTTACCGAAGAAAAGAAATATTCTTTCCCAATATTTTTGCTTCCAAAATTAAAACTTACTTGTCCTAGTTCTTGGTGTTATTGGAATCCATCATCATTGATTTCTTAAGAAGGGACATTGACCTAATTCAGGTCAATGAGATTAAGGAAAAAGTCTACTTGGGGCCTTCTAGTAAGGATTTTTTAGCTCTTAAAAAGGGAAACAAGTTACAACTTCCCTTGTTAGTTGAAAATATCCTAAGTTGAAATTGTATTTAATACACCTAGTCTAGAAAACATCAAAGCTTAACCTAATCTATCTTAAATGTGCTTTGAACACTTACATTAGCCTAAAATTGGGAAAGAACACCTAACACTGTGTGTTTTATAGTAAAGTGCTGAGTATCTCATGTAATTTATTGAATACTATACTAAAAGTGAAAAACAAAACTGTTGATGGGTACAGGCCTACCTCATTTTATTGTTTTCTGCTTTATTGTGCTCCACAGGTATTGTGTTTCTTAAAAATTGTAGGCTTGTGGCCACCCTGCATCAAGCAAGTCTCTTGTACCATTTTCCTAACAGTATTTGTTCACTTTGCGTCTCTGTGTAGCATTTTGGTAATTCTCACAATACTTCAAATGGTTTCATTATTTTTATATTTACTATGGTTATCTATGATCAGTGATCTTTGATGTTACTTTTGTAATTGTTTTGGGGTGCCATGAACCACACCCAAATAAGATGGCAAACTCAATAAATCAATGTTATATGTGTTCTGAGTGCTCCACTGGCCTCTAAGTGTTCAGGTGAAAGGAAGAGTCATACATCTCTCACTTTAAATCAAAGCTAGAAATGAGTAAGCCATGTCAAAAATCAAGGTATGTTGAAAGTTAGGTCTCTTGCACCAAATAGTTGGCCAAGTTGTGAATGAATGTAAAGGAAAAGTTCTTGAAGGAAATAAAAAGTGCTACTTCAGCAAATACACTCATAATAAGAAAGCAAAGCAGCCTTATTGCTGATATAGAGAACATGTTTGTGGTCTGGATAGAAGATCAATACAGCCGCAATGTTCCCTTAAGCCAAAGCCTAGGTTCAGAGCAAGGCCCTAACCCTCTTAAATTCTGTAAAAGCTGAGAGAGGTGAGGCAGCTGCAGAAGCAGAGTTTGAAGCTATCAGAGGTTGGTTCATGAGGAGTAAGGGAAGAACCCATCTCCATAACATCAAAGTACAAGGTGAAGCAACAAGTGTTGATGTAGATGTTGCAGCAAATTGTTCAGAAGATCTACCTAATTAATGGTGGTGGCTACAGTAAACAGCAGATTTTCAATGTAGATGAAACAGCCTTATTTTGGAATAAGGTTCCATCTAGTACTTACATAGCTAGAGAGGAGAAGTCAATGCCTGGCTTCAAAGCTTCCAAGGACAGACCGACTCCCTTGTTAGGAGCTAATGCAGTTGATGACTTTAGGTTGAAGTCAGTGCTCATTGACCATTTGCAAAAATCATAGGGCTCTTAAGAATTATGCTAGATCTACTTTTCCTGTGCTCTATAAATGGAACAACAAAGCCTGAATGACAGAACATGTGTTTATGACATGGTTTACTTGATATTGAAAGTATACTACTGAGACTAATACTCAGAAAGAAAAAAAAAAGATTTCTTTCAAAATATCACCACTCATTGACTATATACCTGGTTATCCAAGAGCTCTTATGAAAATGTACAATGAGATTAATACTATTTTCATGTCTGCTAATACCGCATTCTGCAGCCCATGGATCAAGGGGTAATTTTGCCTTTCAAGTCTTTTTTTAATTTTTTTTTAATATTTATTTATTTTTGAGACAGAGAGAGACAGAGCATGAACAGGAGAGGGTCCGAGAGAGAGGGAGACACAGAATCTGAAACAGGCTCCAGGCTCTGAGCTGTCAGCACAGAGCCTGATGCGGGGCTTGAACTCACGGACCACAAGATCATGACCTGAGCCGAAGTCGGACACTTAACCAACTGAGCCACCCAGGCACCCCTCAAGTCTTATTATTTAAGAAATATATTTTGTAAGGATGTAGCTGCCATAGATAGTGATTTCTTTTATGTATCTGGGCAAATTAATTGAAAAACTTCTGAAAAGGATTCACCATTCGAGATGTCATTAAGAACATTTGTAATTCATGGGCAGAGGTAAAAATATCAAAACTAACAGGAGTTTGGGAAAAGTGGATTCCAACCATCATGGGTGCCTTTGAGGGGTTCAAGACTTCTATGCAGGAAGTAAGTGCAGATTTGGTAGAAACAGCAAGAGAGCTAGGATTGGAAGTGGAGCCTGAAGATGTGCCTGAATTGTTGCAAGCTCTTGATGAAACTTGAGTGGATACAGAGTTGCTTTCTATGGGTGAGCAAAGAAAGCGGTATCTTGAGATAGAATATACTCCTGGTGAAGGTGCTAAGAAGATTGTTGAGAGCTAAGTATTTAGAATAGTACCTACACTTAGTTGATAAAGCAGTAGGCGGGGCTTGACAGGGTTGATTCCAATATTAAAATAATTTTCACTGTAGGGACAATGCTATCAAACAACATGACATGCTACAGAGAAATCATTCCTGAAACATAGAGTTAATCGATGCAGCAAACTTCACTATTATTTTGTTTATTTTGTTTAAATAAAATGCTTATTTTTTATTTATTTTGAGAGACAGAGGAAGAATACTGGTGGGCAAAGGGCAGAGTGAGAGGAGAGAGAGAATCCCAAGCAGGCTCTACACTCAGCACAGAGCCCGATGGGGGTCTCAATCTCACCAACCATGAGATCATGACCTGAGCCAAAATCAGAGGAGTCGGATGCTTAATCGACTGAACCACCCAGGCACCCCCACTCAATGTTATTTTATATTAATAAATTACAGCAGCCATCATAGTCTTCAGCAACCACCACCCTGATCAGTCAGTAGCTATCAAAATCAAGGCAAGACCCTCCACCAGCAAAAAAAAAAAAAAAAAAAAAAAAAAAAAAAAAAAAAAAATATGACTTGCTGAAAACTCAGATGATGGTTAGCATTTTTTAGCAATAAGGTATTTTTAAATTAAGCTATGCACATTGTTTTTCAGACATAACGCTATTGCATACTTAATAGATACAGTATAAATACAACTTTTATATTCACTAGGAAGCCAAAAAATTAATTTGACTCACTTTATTGTGATATTTGCTTTATTAACAGTGGTCTGGAATTGAATCTGCAGTATCTCTGAGGTGTACCTATATATCTAGACTTGTTCAATGTGGAACCAGAGGGCTGGATTAGTGCCAGAGTGAGGGAGTTCACACAGTCATGTTTTATTGTATTATTAAGAGGTTCAGAAGAGGGCATCTGGGTGGCTCAGTTCGTTAAGAATCTGACTCTTGATTTCTGCTCAGGTCATGTAAGACCGAGCCCTGTGTCTGGCTTCGTGCTGACAGCATGGAACCTTCTTGGGATTCTCTGTCTCCCTCTCTCTCTCTCTATCTCTCCCACACTTGTTCTCTCTCTCTCAAAACAAACAAACAAACAAACAAACAAACAAACAAACAAACAAACATTAAAAACGTCTCAAAAGTGAGGGTTGTTATAACAAGTTCTTACCACTGGAGGGACTTGAGAGTCTGGATGGGTACAGGCAACAATTTGTATGGAGAAAGAGATTGCCCTTGATAAACTGAAAGCTTCAATTGTTTTTACCAACATAAGAACATTAGACTATTCTCCGAACTGAACAAAAGTTGAACATGACAATTTCATAAAGTCTAAGTACATCTAGAGGCTTAGTTGTATTTTAATAGCTTGCTTAAACTCAGGCGGCTAATTTGAGGGAAGTCCCCTCAGGCCACATGAAGGCTCACAAGTCCAGGGGCCCCACCCCTGCTGGCACAGTCTTGCCCTCTATTTGGGGACACTCTTGTCCTGCCTTAGGCTCAGCCCTGATTGTGGTTTGGGCTTGTCTCTGAATACTTGACAGCCTGGCTCTGTCCTCTCACAGAGACGTCTTCTTGGTGGACTGGGTAGAAGTTAGGACACTGTACCTCTGATTCTTGGTGTGAGTGTGGCCAACTCACTGGCTTGACTTGGGCCTCAGTTGCCTTGTCTGTGAAGTGAGTATTCCACCCCTCCCTTATCAAGTGACACCTCAGAACCTTCCTGGAATTTATACTCTGAGATTATCTGATTAATATGTACTAACTACATTTTGCTAAACATAAATGATTGTATGAAGTTGTTAACCCTGTCCAGTAGGCTCAGGGAACTGTGGTCAAAGCTTCAAAGTTCACTAGAAACTATTCATTAACCAAGCTGTCCAAGTCTTGTGTTATATTACATTATTTTCCTAGGCACTGTTTAATGGAATTTCTGAATAAGTATGTCTTAGAAGTTCCAACACTACACACAGTTACCCATCTGGTCACTCTTGCTTTTGAAGTTCTACTTCATGAGCCTTATTACCTCAGGGCTTTCCCCCTCTCCTTCTTTGCTCAGATGCTGATATTTTCTTCCCCCATATGATCTATTATATTATTTGTATTTTATACTTTCTCCCCCAAATTCTTCAGAGCTTGAGTTTTTTTTTCCCCCTTTTACAGAAATGCTTCTACAGTGCATTTCTGTGGTCAAAACAATCAAACCAGAAGGACAGTGTTTGGGCTAAGTCTGGACTGCATTTAAATTCTCTTTTTTTACTTATTAGAATTTGGGGAAGTTACTGTGTGTCTGAGTCTCTGTTTTCACATCTACTAAATGGAGATATTACAGAATACTTTTTAGTGTTGTTTGAGGATTAAGACTGGTTTTCTGTGCCTTTCTTTATATTACTAATAACATTACTAAGAACAAGCCCCAGTAGAAGTCTTTATCCTTTGTTTTTATTTGGGCCTTACTCATACTCAGCCAAATTCTGCATTAAGAGAGTAGCCCAAGTGAAGGAAGAGGAACCCTATGTAAATGCTCATTCATGCTCAGGAAAATGGTGTTTGAAGTTGTGCTTTAGAATATCATTCTTCTTTTACGCCTCCAATATCTACAACATACCTAGGCATGTTTGAGAATTATAGGTGTACTTTCCTTTTCCCTGTTTGAGCAGAACACCTATTAATTTATTATCTCATACCCTCCTTTCTAGGAATTCCCCAACCCTTGTACACTGACTCACTACACAGTCATTGTGGGAGCTGTGGTGTGCATACATGTGTTATGATGATGTCCACAGGTCACCATTTGACTGTACAGAAATGAAACCCCCACTCAAGAACCTAACTCAGTCCATATTTAATTGGTCATGATGGGTACACGTCTCAGGCCAGATCAATCAACTTCTCCAGAGATGTGGTGGCTAGATATTGAACAATCTCAAAAGTTTTCCAAGCTGTTTCTCACAGTGGATGTAGGTAAATAAAACAACAAAAATGTGATTTGCAGTGAGAGTCGAAAGAAGGCAATGCATGGAAAGAAATAGAGATGAAAATAGTTCATCTGAATTGCTTCTAGCCTCCTAGCCACCGGTTCCATTGATTTCCAAAGGGCTACCTGGCTCCCTGCCTTCATAAGCTCTCCACGCACCCTTCTAATGAATGTCTATTTTTGCTTAAACTAGTTCAAGTTGAATTGTTACTTGTAACTAAAAGAAGTGAAACTGACGGATATGATATTAAAACACAGCCTGCTAGTCTGGGTGGCCACTGCACACCTAGAGACAAAGGATACCTTTTTGTAGATTTCATTGTGTATTGTTTCCAGCATCGTTCTTTACTCCTAGTAAGTATGGTTCTAGTGATGTTCAAATCAGGTTTTCCAGTGCACTTTAGCTTAGCTTAGACTTATTAAGGATTGAGGTTAGGAGTAAATTGGAATGCTTTGTGGAAAGTTCTGTTAAAGCATGCCCTAAGAAGAATTCACCTGGGTTTAAAGCAGAAGACTCTAAATGGAGCTCAAGTACTATATTCTTAGGATCCGTTTAAGCAACCCTAGTGTGTGACAACCATAACCCTTCTATCATGTTAGAAAACTAACATGATAGAAAGAGTAGAAAGAGTGTTTCATAGTAATAACAGGTCACTCAGATATGCAGAAAGTAGCTGGTGTTGTACTGCAGTAAAAGTATGAATTCTGGACCACCCTGTCTTAGTTTGAATTATGATTTTGACACTTAGCAACTATGTTCTTTTGGACACGTTATTTCAACTCACCTGTAAAATGGGACTGTCTACAATAGTAATCTTCTAAGATGCTGTGAGGTAGTATTCTTAATAAGTAGAGTGGCTTAGGGCACCTGGGTGGCTTAGTTGGTTAAGCTTCTGACTCTAGGTTTCGGCTCAGGTCATGATCTCCCGGTTTGTGAGTTTGAGCCCTGCATCAAACATCTGTCAGCACAGAGCCTGCTTGGTATTCTCTTTCTCCCTTTTTCCCCTGCCCCTTTTCTGCTTACTTGTGCTCTACATAGATAAATAAATAAATAGTAGACAGGCTTATAGTAAGTCATAACTCAATCAATGTTTGCTATTAATTTTATTATTACAACTATGTAGTCTTAGCCAGGGTTAAGAATTCTTGCATACCTCAGTACCTAATTGGAATAAATGTCTGGAAGTTATTTATAATTCTGAAGTCTAATCCCCATACATATATATTTCTGTGTGCTGGTTAGCATTAGATTTTAAACTTAAAAAAAATTAGGGTCACCTGGGTGGTTCCATCTGTTAAGCCTCCAACTCTTGATTTTGGCTTAGGTCATGATCTCATAGTTGATGAAATTGAGCTGCACGTTGGGCTCCATGCTGATAGCATGGAGCTTGCGTGGGATTTTCTGACTCCCTCTCTCTCTGTCCCTCCTCTGCTTGTGTCGTCTCTCTCTCTCTGTCTTTCTCTCAAAATAAATAAATAAACTTAAAAAAAAATTATACCAGTGCACCTGCGTGGCTCAGTTGGTTAGGTGTCCCACTCTTGATTCCAGCTTGGGTTGTGAACTCATGATTCGTGAGTTTGAGCACCACTTTGGGCTCCATGCTGGCAGTGGGAAGCCTGTTTGGTATTCTGTCTATCCCTCTCTCTCTGCCCCTCCCCTGCTCCCTCTGCCTCTCTCTCTTTCAAAATAAATAAACTTCAAAAAATTTATACCACAGACAGATGATACAAAAGAAGAAAATTTAATTTTCTATCTTTAGCAGTTTAGAGTCGAATGGAAACTCTGGTGCAATAGTTGAAGAAGATGAAAAAATAAATAATAAATATCAAAAATAAGTACATAAAATATATGCCACAAGTGTAAACCAGTGCTAAAAATTAACAGTGTGTTTACATATGTACAAAGATCTAGCCTACTTTTGTTACACTGTATATTCAAATGTGTGGATTGCTGGTGAAAACGGAGGAGATGTTGTCCACAGAGGATGAATTTTACTGAAATTAAAAGAGAATAGAGGCAAGAGTTTAAAAAGATAAACAGATGGAGGTCTTTGGGACAAGAGAAGCATCATACATAATAGACCCGCACTTGGAGGTAGAGATACTCTGAATGTCTTTCAACAAATAATGTTTGACCACCTGCCATGTGCTGTGCACTATATTAGTCACTGAATTTGCAAAGACAAATAAAAATACTTACAGCTGACAGGAAACACCCTGGAGTGGCAGACACATGAATAGATGTGATGGGGGGGGTAATTCTTGGCAAATATTAAACCCCCACATTTTCATATTATTTCTAAGTGTGTGTGTGTGTGTGTGTGTGTGTGTGTGTGTGTTTCCTGCAGCCTTCCCCCACATCAAGCTGAGCTACCAGGCTTCCTGCTCAGGGGAATGAAAAGGAGGGTATTGCTTAGAAAAGAGGCCACTGATTAGTCTTAAATTTTACAGTTGACTTTCTTGACCCTTTTGGGAAGTTAGTATCCCTGTAACAGATCATAAGAGAGGAAATCATTATCTAAATTACTTTATCCTTTCCTTATGAACCAAGAGGTAAACGAAAGATTGGATTGAAAAGGTAGATTCTCTATGCCAGGGGTAGAGAGGTCTCAGCACGTTTGGGAGGATGTAGTGAGTCAGCCCCTGACATTGAGGTCAGTGAGAGAAGAAAAGGGAAAGATGTAACATGGGCGAAGCTGAAGATTCTGAAGAATCCTAGCCTTCAGCTTGTTGCCACATGGTCTGTAAGTGACTGGGTGGAGGTGGCCGCAGAAGGAATCCAGGCAGAACTCCATCTTCCCAAGGCTCCACTGCAGAGTTCAGGGGATTCAGAGGTTCCCAGATTAATAGGAGGTGCTAATGATCCTGGAGAGCTGTAAGGGACACATCAGAACAAAACAAACAAACAAACAACCTATGTATTCTGGGCTTCAAGGCCAGAGCCAAATAACTGGGATCTCAGTTTTTATGGTAGGTCCATCACGTCGCCTAAAACTCAATGTCATTTTATATCTGAGAGTAGGGTTTTGCAGAGGGAAGATATATATGTAGTCCCTAATATGGACTTGACAAGAGGACTTCTTTGTAGATGGAACGTTCTTTGTTGACATGATGTGATGGCCAAGTCTTTAAGGATAAGTAGGAATTATTTGGGAAAAATTAGGGAGGTGGGATTGGCATTCCGGGTCTCAGACACCGCATGAGCAAAGGTCTACAAGGAAGAACATATTCTTGGTGCTGCATTTCAATATTTATTTATTTTTGAGACACACAGAGAGAGACAGAGCATGAGTGGGGAGGAGCAGAGAGAGAGGGAGACACAGAGTATGAAGCAGGCTCCAGGCTCTGAGCCATCAACACAGAGCTTGATGTAGGGCTCGAATTCACAAACCTTGAGATCATAATCTCAGCTAAATTTGAATGCTTGAACGACTGAGCCGCCAGACGCCCTGGTACTGAATATCAAATGGTTGCAGCACAGAGTTTGAGGCATGTTTTAAGTTCTGCAGGAAACAGACTCTAGGACAGAGATGTCTGTATAGGAGGTTAAGGAGCAATGCTTTTAATTCACAACACCTGTCAGGGAGTTGGGGGAGGGGAGTTGGGGGAGCAGTTATGGCAGAAATCTCAGGCTGTCCCTTAGTGACTACTGGAACTGGGATGGCTCTTTAAATTAGTCACAAATTGAAGCAAGGGGAGGGCTTTTGCATTCTCCATTGACCTTGGATAAAGGTTGCCACAAAGATGAAGGCTTAACTTTGGGTGAGGCAACTTCCTTTGGTGGAAAGCAATTTCTGGAAAAGGGTTTCAGCTGTGAGCTATCAGTTGGCAACATTTCAGTATTTGGAGAAATAAGTGCCTCAGAGTTGAAGGGGGAGCCAGGGCGGCACATCACTACAACGGGCATGTTCGCAAAAGCTGAATTTAGAGAAGTAAGCCACTGACCAGGTAATGCAAGGCCTTAGAAATCATGTTTACAGATTTGGGCACTTTCTTTCTTTTTTTTTAAAGAAACAGGGAGCTATGGAAAGGTTTTAAGCAGGAGCTTAAGTGTACACAATCATGTTTGCATTTGAAAAAGATCACTATGGCAGCTGTGTAGAGAATTGATTTGAGAGAGAATCCTGAAGATGGGGAGGTCTGCAAGGAAGTTGTCGCAGTCATCAGAGAGAGACCTGAGGAGAGTTTGAATTTATAAAGTGGAGGTTGGAATAAAGAAAAGTGAACTGATTCAGGAGATACAGAGAAAGCAGAATTAAAGAGAAAGCGGAATTAATGGTATGTACTTATTGATTGATGGAATGTGGGGGTGATGGAGAAAGATAGATCAAACCATAGTTTCTGACCTGGGAATCCAAACTAGGAAATTTGGCTAAAGACAATGCCATGTGGTGTTCATGCCCTATTCCTTCTTTCTGACATGCCAACATCTATATTTGGCCACAGCCTCGCAATAAGGAGGGACCATGTAACAATCTCTGGCTAAGGAAATATGGATGGAAGTGATGTATGCTATTTCCGGGATGAGGTAATGGAAACCCCTGTGCCATTCTCTCGTCTTTTAATTCCTCTTTGGTGAGAAGTAGGAGGGCCATATGTTGAGATGATTGAGCCACATAATCAACGCAGCTGAGACCCCTGAATCACTCCATGGAGGACAGCTGCTTTGGATTGTTGCCCAGTCAAGAGAGAAGGATCTTGTGTGAGCTGGCGATAAACTTTACAGTGGTATGCTTCTGAGATTTGGAGGCTGTTTGTACTCACAGAATAAGGCTAGTCTGTCCTGACAAATACTGCAACACCCAGTTCACCTGTGTCATGGTGTGTGTGTGTGTGTGTGTGTGTGTGTGTGGCAGGGGACACACAGGGGAGTGGAAAAGGCAGAATGCAAATTGAGTTTTTAAAATGTTGAGTCCAAGGAGTGACTGGGTAGCTCATTCAGATAAATGTCTGACTCTTGGTTTGGGCTCAGGTTATGATCTTATGGTTTCATGAGTTTGAGCCCCGCATTGAACTCTGTGCTAGCAGGGTGAAACCTGCTTGGGATTCTCTCTCTCTCCCTCTCTCTTTGGTCCTCCCCCACTTGCACTGTCTCTCTCAAAATAAATAAACTTAAAAAATTACAATGTTGGGTTCAAGATAACTGAGAAATATTTAAGTAGACATGTCCAATATGCAGTTAAAGTGTGGACAAGGCATTTGAAGCAAAATCTATGCTGGAGAAACAGATTTTGAAAGGCACAATAGCCAATAAATGAAGTGATGTGAGGGATGAGATTCTTAAACACTGCAATCTAAAATGATCTGAGCATATTATTTTCCTCTGCATGGTCTTTTTTGGTCCCTTTTAGAAAGCAATGGAATTCCAGAAAACTTTATCCTTTACTTTTAAAATTACATTTATTATATAAGCCAATCTCAATATCATCATACATTATACAGCTGTTTTTTTCCTACTTCATCATACCGTAGGCATCAGGGTGCCGTGCTTGAATGTAAGTAGAAGAGTCAACTTCATTGCAGAGCAAGCCAAACAATTATCATTAAAAACCTGCAATCAGTTTCTATCTTCCTTGAAGTGATGTCTCAAAGTCCAATTAGAAGTTGTTTTGAAAAATTATCTAAAGGGATCCTTTGGTTGCACAAATGTAAAATACCAATACATTGCTGTTGACAACTATAAATTCATCTGAATGTTGCTATTTTAGACACAGAAGCTATGAGAGGTTTTTGGTAATGTAAATTTTGTATGATTGGAATAGGCTTTATAATGCTACCGTTTTTTTTGTTTGTTTGTTTTTTTGTTTTTTTGTTTTTTTTTGCTTTGGGGGGATAGAAATATAAGACCAGATCTGCTATAAATTCAGCCTGCACTGTTCTTGAACTCTTGCCTATTATTGTTCATATGTACGTTTCATTCCTGCTTAACATTAGTCACTAGACGCTAAAATGACTCTGAGTTCAGCAGCAAAAATGTACGTGCATGAGATTTGCACCATGTTGCAAGAGTGGAGGAAACAAAGTCGTTTCTGCTTGGTTCACCCTAAATGTGGACTAAACTGTTGATGTCCCTGACACAGATAAACTACATTTTTTATAGTTATATTTTATATTTATATTTATTATCATTTCACTGAAAAATTGAGTCACAGAAAGATTAAGTGACCTGTAAAAGGAATGGAACAAAATATAACGGCCAAAGCTGAAGCTCAGGTTTGGTTTTCTTTGATTCCAAATCCCACACTTTCTTTTCTTGACCACACTGTTTTAAATGAAGTCATTTCACATGTGTTATGTATATCCCTCTATATTGTCATAAGAGATGTGTTCCCCTCCCTCCCTTCCTTCCTTCCTTCCTTCCCTCCCATCCTTGGAGCTTTGAAACATTTTAGAAAGATGTGTTAGTTTCCATTTTCCCTTTTGTTTGAGATCATGGAAACACTTTCCTTCTCCCTCTTCTGGTCTTCGCTAGAGCAGCTGCTCAGAATGACTCAGCTTTTCCAGTCAGAAGTGGTTCCTGCCTCATGGTGTGGAGGAAAGATCCAACCCTGGAATAAGGCACCAAAAGTTACCTCTTTCTGATGGGGGGAAAAAAAGGAGCCCTGTCCTTGTCTGGAACCATCATCCCTTTCTCAACCCACACACATCTATCTCACTCCATGTTTCATGTCATTTTCGTCATTCTGTTCTGATTAAACATCATGCTTTTTGAATGGGTCGTTATCGCTGTCTCTGTGAGTAAATGGGATGTGAATACCCTGAGGATCCTCGCTCATGAATGCAAACTCTCTTCCATTCTACAAAGGGAAGAAATACAGTTGCTGAATATTAATAGCTCACCAGAGATTAGAATTCAGAGATTAGACAAGATCTGCCTTGTGCATTTATTACCCAAAAGTGAATGATAGGAAAGGGAGGGGCAGAGCAAGAAAATAATTTAGAGAGGAAACTAATATATATGGAGTGCCTGTTTGTATCTGGTACAAGAGCTTTTCTACTTATAAATTTTCAATTTATGGGCTCTTATTATGTGAACAAAATTATGCTGCAATTAAAAGCACCCACCACCAATAGATGGGGGAGGTAGTAATGTTAGGTCATGTTAGTCATTGTATTTCTTGAATCCTAGACAGGAAGTCTGCCTTGCATGTGTTAGTTTTGAGATAATTTATGATCATGATTAACCCCATCATAGCAGATAAATGCAAAATAAGTGCCAAAAAGAAAATTCATGATGGGATGGAAAGTAGATATAATTTTTATAAATTAAAAGTGATAAAGAGATCGATAAGTATTGCATAAGTGTATGAAATGACTCATTTTTTAGTAAGAATGAATCCAAAGGACTATCACAAATCATAAAATACTTGAAAGCCCTGTGTCTGTACCATTGAAATTAATAGACAAGAGATGAGGAAAAGTGATTGAAAAAAATGGAACAGTGTTTGGGCATATGGCTCCAGCAGTTGTTTTTCAGCCTGACCCTATCTCCCATCATAATTTCTCAGGATAAGACCTTCAGACTGGCTTGCTTTTATTCTTTATAATTTTTACTTTCCAGGTGACTGTAATCTGCAACCAACATGCAAACTACTGAGTTAGGAGTTCAGAAGTGAGGCCATGGGTTTGTAAGTGAAAGAGCTTTAAGCATTTAGTGTGCTCTGTTGTAAAGTTAGGGTGATCCCCGCAAGCTGGTAGAGATTCTACAGGCTTGAAGCTCCTTCAAATTTCACAATTTAAAACCAGTGATGAGGCAGTAAATACTATTGCCATATGCTAATAAATTTTCTTTCACCTGTGTACAGATCATCATGAAAGTGGTTCATCTTATTGACATATTTTCATATAGATTCAAGTCATATTTTGAAAAAGATTTCCA